AAAAAAGGAAAGAAAAAGAAAAAAAAAACAAAAAGGAAGAAAAAAAAAAAAAAAAGGAAATCAAATGCATAACCTTACAAAAAGTTGCCCTTGGAAAGTTGACCTTACAAAGTTGCCCACCTTGGAAAAGTTGACCTTACAAAACTGCCCTTGCACACTTGACTTCGCGAAGTTGACCTTGCCAAAATTGCCCTTGCACAGTCGACTTCGCGAAGCTGACCTTGCAAAAATGCCCTTCCACAGTTGACTTTGCGAAGCTGACCTTATAAAAAAAATGTGACCCCTCTTCACAGCTGGCCAGGCTGTGGAAAGTTGGAAACAGAAGACCCACATCCCAGACGGCTGGCAGCAACCTTTTTTATGTATAAAATGAAACCGGGGACCACCACAAAGCCACAGCCTGAAGGTCGCTGCCCGCTGCCGCAGTGTGAGCTAGCTTGTGCCGCCTTTCGGATCCTTGCTCTTGTCTTGTTCTCCTTTATCTTGACGCTTTGCTGCCAAGCGCGTAACCACTGCCCGAACTTGCGCAAGTCAACCACAAGCTCAGGTTGCTACTAAGTTAATACTAACACATCACCCAGCACCCTTACGCGAGAGCTACCTCACGCAAAGCCTAATGGCCCGCATCAAGGCAACGCCTAACCTGCGACAGCCCAGGGCCTGCCCTAGGTACACCCACCCAGTTAGTGCGCACCCATTACGATCTTTGTGTCAAGTCCATATGTTTTCGTTCTTTGTTGTTGGCAATCTATCTGTGCTATCGGTCGGAAACGCCCTTTTTTTTTCTTTTTCAAGGGACCAGACTCCCCTACTAGGGGGGGTGGTACGAGCAGCCTCCCCTAGTAATCCCCTGTCGCGTCATCAACTAGAATGCTTCCATCCTAGAATGGTAATCAACCAGGAGCTCCTGTCGCCTGGTCTCTGCCATCAACCTCAATCTCCCCATCCTGGCCTCTCCTCGTCAGCCACGAATGCCCCCGATATCAACCGGGAACCACGTCTCCTCGTCAGACTGAATCTCCCGTCTTATCCTCCTCATCGACTGTGACCCCCCCTGACCGCCTGTCTCATCATCACCTAGAACCCTCATCCTACTCTCCTCGTCCACCGGAAGCCTCCTCCTATCTCGGTTACCCAGATTATCAAGTGGAATTATCATCAACCGGAAAGCCCCCTGTCCGTGTCATCATCAGGTAGAGTTCCCCATTCAGCTTTCCTGCCGAACCAAAAGTCCCCCAACTCGCTGTCTCGCCATCAACTAGAGTCCAGTAGCCTCCATCTTCGACCAGAAGCGCGCCCCCCCGCTATCCCTGCCAGCGCCCCGATTCCCCCAATCCGTATCCTAATCCCGCAAACAACCATATGCATGTGCTGCGCGCCCCCTGGCAGGGGGACAGGACCATCGGGTGTCATGGGGAACAAGGAACAAGTTCCTCGGGGTGTCGTGTAACACCAACGGGGCGTGCAGACATGGGAGGGGTCATGTAATGGCGACATGGGAAAAACGAACGCTCCTACCCTCCATCAGATACAGGAGCAGACCTACAGGTCTGGAGGACTCCTTCCCAGGGCTGTAGGCTGATCGAACGCGCAACTACAAAATACTGGTGCCGAATAGAGAAAAAAAAACTCAAAAAGACCAAAAAGAGTTCAAAAACAAAGAAAACAAAGAAAAGCGTGAGAGGAACGAGTTCGTATTCTCAAGCCTTGATCCTCTCCTCTCTCTGAATATAGGGCCCAGGTGACCAAATGCAGAGAGCCTACCTAATATGTCAAAATCAAGCTGGTATAGCTATAGAAAGGTTCCCTTACTGTCATCGAAACGCAGATTCGAGATCGAAGGCTTCTCTCCAGTCGCCAATTCGCCACCATCTTTGCAGTCAGCCTTTTCCCTCTGCAGCGCACTTTGGTTCCCCTCCATGTAGACTTCTACCATCCATCAGCAATGCTCCTTGGTTTCATCGCAAATTTGAGATGCCTTCTTCATGTACTTTTTCCCCCCCCGCAACCCACTGTGGTCGCCTTCCCTCGATCAACTACCCTCCGTCACCACTGCTCTTCAGTCACATGACAAATTTCTTTCTGCCTGCCATCAAAACTCACTGGTAAGGTCCAAAATCGGACTGGGATACTGATCGTACGGGAGTTAATCACACATTCATGGGAACCAGTAATCTCTCTCTCTCTCTCTCTCTCTCTCTCTCTCTCTCTCTCTCTCTCTCGCGCGCGCGCGCGCGCGGATGAACAAAATGCAGCATTCCGGCTTGCGTTCGGATGAACAGTGCTACCGGGACCAAAACGGCCGGTGGTGCCAACCGAAACCAAGAAAAAAATGCGCCACTGGTGGTCTCGTGTTTTTTTTTTTTTTTTAACAGTACACAGTGCAAATCCACGTCAGGAAAAAGACGCTTGGAGGTGCTGGTGGTTTAAGAAAGGAGTTTCAGTGTTGTCACAACCTGCAGACGTTTCTCAGACGTTTCAGTGTTGTCACAACCTGCAGACATTTAAGGCAGGGTGAACGTGGAACCGGCAGAAGCAGGGCGGGCCGGCGGGCCGGTTGTCAAAGCGAAGGGAAAATCAGGCAGCACAGCGGGGAAGCGCTCGGAGGAAGGGCCGATGCGGGCCGACGGTCCGGTTGTCGAAGTGACGAGAATCAACCAAGCGCGGGTAAGTACCGTTCGGATGCAGGGCAAATGTCGCAAGGCTGCGTGGTGGTGGCATTTGGGGATGGTCGGCAGTGGCAAACGCTGCGGGCAGGGCGGTTGTTCGAATCAAGCGGACGCAGGGCAAATGTCGCAAGGCTGCACGGTGGTGGCGTTCTCGAATCGAGGGGGCGGGTGTGCGTCGCTCATCCTATCGATGGAAAACGCTCTCTCTCTCTCTCTCTCTCTCTCTCTCTCTCTCTCTCTCTCTCTCTCTCTCTCTCTCTCTCTCACACACACA